CCTGTGCTCTTGCCAACAATGTTCTTGTTTCTCTTTTACTTTCTGTTTCCATTCCTCGTTTCTTCCCTTCTATTGCAAAAAAAACCCCACCAAACCAAACCAGCCACTTCAGCAGCTCTGCTAGGAAATGCCACTGGTACAGGAGGAGCAGCCAGGTGTGACTGTTCCTTGTTGACTGCGTGGCAGTGAGGAATTGGCTGTGAAACAGGAGGTGAAAATCCAGCATTGAGAAGTGGAAGATGATGGATGTGTCAGTGTCACAGTTCATAACACTGATGCTCTCCATACTGCATGGTGCCACTGCCAGGAAAGAGACCTGGGGAAGTGCTGTTGTTGCAGCAGTACAACTCTTGGCCTGACACTGGGTGCACAAACAGCCTATTCACTACAGGTGCAGTTGCATTTGGAAGAGCTGTTTGGGTTCATGGGTAGTGCAGTTTATTGAATGCAGAATATAAGGTTCTTTTGGACTGTCAGCAGTATACACATGTTAACTGCAGAGTACCTCTGTAGAGCACTGACAACACGATTGCAATCGTAAGCTCAATGTCCTGGGTCAAAACACTTGGCGTGGCCAAGTACACAAGTCTTAGCAGGAGGTGTCCCTTCTGGGGAGGGCCGGGAGGACAAACCCAAAGATCTGTCCCTGTGATTTTTGTGCCGTGTTCCCATCCCCCAGTGAGGTACAAAATCAGGGCACTTTCATACCTTATTCACCATTGTTGTGCAAAGTGCTGTGGGTGGGACAGTGGTCCAGCCTTCTGCTCCCTGTGGCCACAATGTACAGTGTGTTTCAGAGTTCTGCTTGGTAGCAGTGGTTCAAAACACTTCTTTGTAAGCAGGTGGAAGCAAGAGACCAAATGGCTTCCACACAGCTTCACGTGCCTCCCCAGCGCCGTGGCAGCACAAACCGCCACCCTCCATCCAGTTTCCATGCCTGCTCTGATCACCGTGGGCCTCGTCATGTACTGAGCTTGGCATTTTCTTCACTGCTTTATGCTTCAGCAATAGCTCCATGAAAGCGTCAACCCTGTGCTCGGCAGCAGTCTACAGCCTGATGGAAATATTAAGGATTGTTAAGAAAAGAGGAAAAATACAGAGCACTCTTGTGACTTTGTAGTGTAAGTGGTAGCCCAACCTTTTGGAGGTGGTTTGCTCCTCTTGGAATGTAGCAGGAGTAGAGAAGCTGCAGAGGTGGTCAGAGATGTGGGCCACCTTCTGTACAAGGAACAACTAAATAGTTTCAGATTCCTCGACTTGAAAAAGAGACAGTAGGAGAAATAATAACATAACTATGCTGTCATGTCTGCCACTGGAAGAGTGGAGTAAGGAACATGGATTTCTTGCCTTTTCAAGCAGATCCTGGGGTGTCAGATGGAATCCACGAGCGGCAGACTGGAAAAGCAAGGCATTGTTTAGGTGAAATGTGACTGATAGGGAGCTGGAACCATGCCCTTAGCCTCTCCGTCCTCATGTGGGAGTACCCAGCAGATCCGTTGTCCTGGTAGCTCAGTATCTTCTTGGCAGTACTCCATAGTGGAAAGCTAGAGAAGAGCAGGGGGCTGAAGCAAGGCAGCTGTGGGGGACAGGATACAGGGCAGCGGGTACAGGCTGGCTGCTTCTGCACCAAGGAATCGCCAAGAGCTCTCCTTCCACTGCTTCAGGGTTCCTACAAAGGTGCTGGAGTAACCCTGAGGCTGACCTTGACTGAGTGTCTTCTGTTCTTCAGCAGCACCAGGATCTCTCCCGAGCCTGTAAGAACACCAGGGACTGCAGACTCCACCTTTAGCCTCTTCCTTACGAAATTCCCAGAGCTGGATCCTCTGCCTGGGCCTGAGCAAGGGCCTATGTATCTGCATCGATTCCAGGTACGAGCTCACTGCTAACTTTTCTTGAGTTCTGGACCATTCCAACTCTAGCACATTCTGATTTTTAATTTCTTTGTTTTCTATAATACTTCTATTTCTCTATGTTTCTGTTTATTTCTATCAGATTGATCTAATGCTTATTTTGTGAGACTGATGTGATGGTCACTGTACAGATGGATATTGGAAATCAGTCCCTATCCTGCCTTGCTTACAAGAGATAGAAGGACAGGGGGAAAATAAACCCGAATGTGTGTGAAGGCAAAGTGACTTGTTGTGGTTAAGTAAATTCTCAGTTACGTGAGCCAGAGGGGAGAAGACACAAAGAAATCCCCTTCTACTCTGGTGTTCTTCTCAGTTGGCACTTCCCCTTCTGATTTATGCAGAGAAGATGGGAACTAATCAAAGCAGAGTTTGGCTGTAGAAAGCCAAAGAAAGGTTGCAAGATTTGCTGGACTGATACTTCCTTCCTGTGCTTGGATATTACAGCCTCTCTCACTAGAATAAATTAGCTTCAAATCTTTTTTATTTCTTGAGAGTAAAGCCAAACGTTTCTTCCCTTTTTCATATAGGAGTTTGTGCTGTCGGAGGTGACGTCTCCAGCAAAGGACAGTTTGGAGTATCACACCTAGTAGGAGTGGGAGGTTGTTGAAGATTTCTGCGGTGGACTTGCGCAAAAAAACACAAAGTAAAGCTTCTGCTACTAATGTGTGATGTCATGCTCTAAACTGCCGGTGAGGGGTGTGTATAACGGCTTGTCCAGAAGCATTGAGATTGTATTTGTGAAATAAGTAGCTGGCCTCAAAATTCTGCAGCTGCTGGAGGAAAAGAGAGACTGTGTGAAGGACAATTAAGGCTTGAGTGGATATGGCTAGATAAAAGAGAACAGAGGTCCCTGGGGCAAATCCCAGGGCATAGAGAAAATTCTGTCGCTCCTGTTAGCACTGCACCTTGCTGAGAATGTTTAAAACTCCCATTTCTGGTTCTGTCTTCTGCCCCCTTTTACCTGCAGGCCTCTCCACGCTTCTTTGATACGTTCTTCTTACAATAGAGTTAGTGTTTCTTCTCTGTTTTATGTGAACTCCTGGAAGGCACTGGAGACATTTGGAGACAGCTATTTTCTCTCCTCTGTTGACTTGCAGACCCACATGTGGCAGAAGTAGCTTTAAGAAAAGTACTGCTGTGGGCGATTGGCCTCCTCCAGATAAAAGGCATTTCACGCCTAGGACATGACTTGCTGGGCTGCTCTGGGTCTGTTGTTGGAACAGATATTGCCAAGCAAGCTTGAAAACTTTTGTATTGTCCGTTAGGACTCGTTAGTGGCTTTCTGAGGGGAGATAAACCACTTTTCCTCCTGCTCTAAATGCTGGAGCTCCTGGGAGCTGGTTTCCGTTCCACTGCTGTCTTTTCTACCGGTAGTTGTTGCTGGAGGAGCAAAGCGCCAAGGCTCGGAGGATATAGGTGAAGGAGCAGTTAGAGGGCAAGTGCTAGCAAGCTCTGCTCTCTGTCCTGCTTGGTGTATGCTAGGTGCATCAGTTGCTTTGTGTTCTGTCCCAGTTTTCCTGCTCTAGGTGCTTTCTGGATAATGGCGAAGATGGTGAGAAGAACATGTGCGTTTTGTTCAAAGGGGGCAGCTGGTTCTGTAATGTATATCGCCCAAGAGCAAGATATTGCAGCTCATCAGGACTGTCTGGTGAGTGGCTTTTAGCTGGATGGTACCTAAGAGGAATGGAGAAGAAGGGATAAAGGGGAAGTTTCCACTGCTTGTCTGGTTTTAACTTTACAAAGTGTCTGAATTGAAAGGCTGGTTACTCAAACCAGCAGGTGTGTATTAGATTGGAAAGCTGAGACAAGCATCAGGGCTTGGCCAGGATTTTGGTGAGGGAGAGGACATGGCTGCACAGCTGGACATGGTGATTTGTGGTGTTTTCCTGTGTCTGTTGCTGATCAATTGTCCTAGACACACATATAGTCTAGCAATAGCAATAGGTCTTCTCGAGATACTAAATTGGATGAGGCTTCTCAGATCACAGGAAGCTGTGTACTTTAAACCTTTGCAGGAAAATGTTTGCATTGCTTGATGTATAAAGGTAAAAATACCTTCCTATTCTGTGCTTTATTTAAAATAAGAAATAAAGATACCACCAGTTGATTATAAAAAAATGCTTGTGAAACTAAACATGCTGCGATCCTAGAATGCTTTTACACTTTTTGCTGTCAAAATGCCTTCCTTTTATTCAGGAATCTTGGTGGAGCTGTTTCTTGGTGTGCAGAAAGGTTGCATTCTCATCTCAGGAGGGAGAGAATATAGCTGATGGTTAGTGCAGGAGATGTCTGTTGCTAGAACAGCTTTCTGGCTATCGCTTTCCAGCCTGCTTATTCTCACAGTTATGTCTATATCTTTATTTTTCTTCTACCGTGTTTTTTCAGTTTCTTAGTTTTTTATCAGAATGTTTCAGAAACATTTGATACCTCTTTTACAGTGTAGTGTTACTTGGATGTTTGATTTGAAACAGGTTTGATTAGGAGTATAGTGTTGCTTCAGTGTTGAAACTTTATTATTTTTTTTCGCTCCCCTGTTCCAGCAACTTTACACATTTTTCTGCCTTAGGTTTCTCTGCACGGATTGGATTTTTTGCAGCCAGCTGTCACCTTCTGAGCAAACAGTTGATGAAAGGCTAGCTCCCTTTTGTTTGGAGTTAGCTATATATAGTGACTAGGACATAGTTGCCAAGAACTTCCCCTTCCTCACTCATTGTCATGGCTCAGCACTTCTGTGAGAATTGGAGTGGCCCAATGTGTGTGTATACATTTTCTGTGGGTTTCTTACGGCTTTATACAATGTTCCTATGTTTCTTGTGCAGTCAACTGTTGTCAGCATTGGGCTGTATGGAAATCTTATTACAGAGAAATATTGTATCCAGCTGTAAGGCTAAACAACAAGATGTTCATGGTATGGAGGTCTGTCAGCCAAAGAGCTGCTTCTCCTCACTCTGGGCAGCCTGGACTTCGGGACTTCATTCATGTTTCTTACTCAGTTAACTTTTTTACCTTATTATCTTTTCTTAGTTGACCTTTAGGTTATGTGAAATCTCCTGTGTAGAAAGAGGAACTTCTTTTAACTGCGAAAATGTTTAAGCACATCTCCTTGTTCAGTGTAGGTGAAACGTCTTAAAAACGGAGAAAAACCACCTTTTTAGGTAGGGCAAGTGCTAGAAGAAAACATGTGCTATTCATCTCTTCTGCACTGGTGACTGAATCACTCTATTATTTCTTAATATCATCTCTTTTGTCTTAGTTGTTTTCCTCAGGATTTGTGGAATCTGAAGAGTATAACCCAGAAAATCTGGATGTAAGGTTTGATGTGGCATCAGTATTGAAAGAGCTTAGGAGAGGAAAGAGACTGGTAAGGAGTTTATTTCTGAATCTGCACTTACCTCTGTTTCATAGCACTGAAGGTTGTCTGGCCTGTTCTCTGCTTTGAGAAAAATGCATAAAAGTACCTGGTGCTTCTGATCTACTAAGATTAGGGAAATTACAGATTTAGTGTTAGAATCATTGCTTTTTTAGATTTGGTGAAATTCAGTTCATTCTGCATTAAAATGCAGGTGTTTTTTTTCCTGGCCTTTTAAGTCCTTGGTCAAAGTTTCCTAAGAGACTTTGGTAAAGAACTGAGCCTGAAACAAAATTATGCATTCCATTAGTGTAAAGGGAAGCACCTCCTGGTTTTAGCAGAATCATAGAATCAACCTGGTTGGGAAAGACTTCCAAGATCGAGTCCAACCCTACTGTGGTTACTAGACCATGGCACTAAGTGCCACATCCAGTCTCATCTTGAAAACCTCCAGGGATGGTGAATCCACCACCTCCCCGGGCAGCCCATTCCAATGCCTGACTACTCTCTCTGTAAAAATCTCTTCCTAATATCGAACCTAAACCTTCCCTGGCAGAGCTTGAGTCTGTGCCTTCTTGTCCTACTGCTGGTGGAAGGTTATTTGTGTGAGGTGTTATTTTATCGGCTATTTCTTCAGCTGCCCTCCTGCCCCACAGCCAGGGTGGAACTCTTTTCATGATGAAGTTAGCCTTGAAAACACACATACAAACACTAGTACTAGGTGGTATTGAAATAACTCAGGGGAGTTGCCCAGTGCCCTCATGTGGCTCTTTGCATTGTTTTACAAATTTAACAGAATGAAATAGAGGTAAGATAGCGAAAAGATGACTGAAATACCAGCAAGGTTATTTTGCTTGCAGGCGTGAACTTGCCCGGTTATTACACAGAGGTGACTTGGAATGAGATACTGAATTTTCCCACAGAGGATAGTACTTGCCTTATCTGGCAAGATTTTTAGTAGCTGCCTGTAATGTTTACCTGTGAAACTCCATCCTGTTTCAGGTGTGCAGCTTCTGTCGCAAGAAGGGAGCCACAGTGGGCTGTGAGGAGCGAGCCTGCCGCAGGAGTTACCACTACTTCTGTGCCCTCTGTGATGACGCAGCGATAGAAACAGACGAAGTACATGGAGTCTACCGGTATTTAACCAAGTGTTGGCTGACTAATCATTGTCAAGGTTTTGGTGGTGGTGTCAGGAAGAGAGACTTTAAAATTGTGTGGGTTTTGAAGGGTTTTTTTAAACAGGAAATATGTTCTGCTCTCTTAAAGTGATGCTTGGTGTTTACAAGCAACAAGGGAAATGCTTTCCTTTTACAGGAAAACATCACAGCAGTGGGAGGGAATCTGTTTAGTGTTTGAGCCTGTAACATGCCTGAAAGATCACTAGGCCAAAACTGAGGGAGTCAGTCCTTTTTGACTATTGAGCTAGTCTTCAAGAACCAAGATTTGAATTCTCAATTTTTGTTGGTTCAGAAGCTCCAGTAAATGCAGTCTGTGCACAGAACAGGTTATAGCACTTCTAGGTCTGTTCACATTAGGCAAATCTTGGTGATTTTCCCTCCCTACGCTAGCAGAGAACTTTGATTCCCACCAAAGACTTTGTATTACAACTGCATTGTTAGAATTAACACAATTGAACAGATTCTAAGTAAATTTTCTGTCCTTATCATGCTAGTCCTGATGTCCACTGCTCTTGGACTGCCTGCGTTGCCATTAACAGATGGAACAGGTTGTTTGGAGGATGCAGATGAAGGGGATGAGAAAGTGGGACTTCAGCGACCTTCTGAAATGCTGAAGTTATAGTGAAGTCTGAGGTGCATAAAACCCCTGACGTTCGTATCTGTGCAAGGCCAGAGAGATCACAGGCCTTGTTAATCTTAGACTAATCTGGTGGATCTTCTAATTACTACTTGTTTCAGAAAGAGGGACTAGCACCGTTCTTAGTAGCAGATGAAAACACTTCTGTGTCAAAACACTTTGCACTCTGGATGCTTCACTAGGGCTCTCAGTCTGAAATGAATACATCTCTCTGCAAGGCTGTAAGCCCAGGTGTCTAGTGAAGATTTCATATTCAGTTGATGCTTGTAAAGTCTTTGGGAGTCTGCAAAGTTCGTGGAAGAGTGTAGCTGGAAAGATGGAAACTATGATGACAGAATAAATGGCTTTGGAAAGGATAACTGAGGCTTAAGAAGACAACTTCTCAAGGGGTTGAAAGATAAGTGGGACTGTCTGGTAAAGAAGAGGTTGCATATATAGCTTGGTGACTTTTTTTTTAGCTGGTGTCCTAAGAGGTTTGGAAAAGGGACCCCTAAAAATGCCTCGTGTTAAGTCACTGTGTGAGACGAGTTGTGTGTCCTATATAAAAATAATACAAGAAACTAGGCTATAGCAACCTGCATTGAAGAGATGGGAAAGGACTGGATTAGAAAGATAGTGAGGCAGGCTTCAAGGATTTGAACCTAAAGACTTTTGCACAGTATCAGTGACACAAATAAAGCACAAAAATTGTAGCTAGCCTGAAATCATCTGAGAATAGACTTGAAAAACAATGGATGTGGACTGACAGCCCCTGCACTTTTTCATGGTGAAATATAACATACTGAAAAGCACATCAAAAGAGAGAACTCCTTCAGGAGAGACAGAGCTGGTGTTTTTAAATTCTGAGTTGCCATTGCTGTGATGGGAGCAGTGATCATCAAAACAAACAGAGCAGAATAAAAAAGAGAAGGCATACAGTGCTGTGGAGGTGGGGAAATAGGTGCCATTTGTACTGCTGTCTTGCAAGAATGACAGTAGGGAAGTGCTTCCAAATAAAGGAGCCTTAGTAGTAAAAGATATTGTCTGTTCTGTATAAGATATTCTTGTGCTTGGGAAGGTTGCTTTTAAACTGGGAAAGACTAGAATTAAAGGGAGGGAAAGAAAAAAACTGACCTTCAAAGGGCAATATTAGAAATTCAGGGACATAAATAAGGTATCTCCATTTCTTAGGTTTCTGACTGAATTGTTAGGCACACCTAAATCGGATGGTTTTGTGCATCAAAATGCATTTCATGCAGGAAAAGCTGGCTCATCAAGGAAACAGACTGTGTTTTTAAGAGCAGTGCTGCTTTATTTGTAAAAATGAAAGAATGACATGAATTAGAAAATGTCCTAATGAATGCAGTTCCCTTTCAAAATTGCTTCCAAGGACTGAGTCTTGGCAAATAGATCTGTAAGGAAGAGATCAGCTAAACTATGCTCTTGACAAGGCATTTTTGCTTAAAAAGTGACCTGGGATCCTTCTGTAAGAAAGGCATATTATAAAAGCTGGTTCAAGTTCTCTACACATTCCTGTATCCAGAGGATAAGGAGTATTTCCAGTTACACTGGTTGCATTTTGCCTCTCCCAGGGAATTCACGTTGCTTTCCTAGAACCAGTGAAAATACTCCCATCTTGGTATTACTGAAGTCTTTAAGGATCGAATGGATGGGGCAGCTTTAGCTACTGGATCTCAGACAGGGTGCCCTACTTCCTTGGGGTTTGGGGATCACCTCGTCAGCACTGGGCAGCAGAAAGGAAGGGGCACAGAGATCTCCAGGGAAGTAGCTGGCACAGTGTGTGGCAGTGCTGTGCTGTGGCTGAGCCAGCACATCACGCAGGGCTTACAAAGCCAAGCTGACTGGTAAGCAGCCACGTCTGAAGGGTTTCCTGGCCCAAGGGGGTGCAGGGCAAGGGGGAAGAGCTGCAGCAGCTGCAATTCTGTGGCATTTCACCTCAACAGCATTCATCTCCTCTCAGTAAGGCATTTCATGGAACACCTCTGGCACAGTGATGGCCACACCAGGCTTGAGTGTGTCTGCCTCAGGATTGGAGCAGTGGGCAGGTCCAAACAGAGTAGGGTGATGGAACTGGTCATTCAAAGCTTCAGTGTTCAGAGTCCGCTGAGGCTCTAAAAGTGCAGATTCAAGCTTGTGCATGTATGTGACTTTACAGCAGGTGCTTTCCTAGGTGGGTAATGCTGTGCAAAAATCCTGATGTTTTTTTTTTACGTGTCTTTCAATGAAAGAAGGGGAAATTCAATGAAAAGAGGGGAAATATCTGTTAAAATCAGTCAGCATAACTCTGTTTACATATTTATTAATACTTTTTCTCTTTTTCTTAAAATTGGACTTAAATTTTAGAGTGTTCTGCTCAAAACATGACCCAGGCAATAGGACCCGTTGCTATGGTAAGTTTCTTTAATGGCTTCGTTGATTTTATTTGTTTTAAAAGTTTGCATCCTACAGAATTCATCTGAACAGGGCAGGAGGAGCTGGGCTGGTCTTTGGACTGTGTTCCTCTTGTTGTATAAGGCATCCTTAAAGCAAGTATCAGGGAGAGCTGAGAAAATCCCATCACATGTCAGAGATGTGATGCTGGGCAGCAAGGAACACTTTGTACCTACACCTGCATCTCCTAGACTGCCCCAAATTAGGCCACGCAGCTTTATTTTGGGTGAAGTGAGAGACTATGATTTGCTTTCAGGCCATGAAAAGTGCAATGTATGGCACCAGTCCCCAAAGCCCAGAGTTGTTTCAGCAGCCTCCTTGTACAACAGCGACTCCTCGTTCCTCTTGACAGGATGATTTCTAGCAGGGAAGACTTTACTAAGTGCTGCCCAAAGGTTCTGGAGTTGAACAGGGAAGAGGGCACATAACCCTGCTGCACTTAAAATCCTCAGGTTTTGGTTAGTAGTTGAACTATTCTCTGGCTTTCTTTGCTCCTGCCATGTCTTCCTTGCCAGAGTTATCCTCTGCTTGTGATACTGTAGCTGTTTCCAAAAGCTGCTGGTTACGATGTTGGTGAGAGGCTGGTGCATGTTCATGGAAAGGACAGAATGAAAGCAGATGATTTTGCAGAGATCTTGTACCACATCCCCAAAACCACTTTGTAGCATAAACAATATTAAACTGACAAGTCAAATTGCTTCTGGAGGTTTTGTAGGAGGGTCATTATATCAATGAAAAACCTAATGTCATTTGTATGTCTTTGGGACACCTAAAATAATTCTCGTAGTCTTTAGTTTTGAGGGTGTATTAGCATAAACAAGAACTGACTGAAAGAAAAACTCCAGTCATCTTCCATAAATTTGCTGGAAGTTTTTACGACCTAGAGGTAGTGCTGCTGCTGGGGAGAATAAGTTCATTGTGCCACAATCAAAAATCTTAATGTTTTATGCGGAGTTTAAAAGGCAAAGTGATATGCTAATGCTCTAGTGATTTGCACTTTCCTAATGGTTCAGGCTTGCAGTTTTTCTTACATGGAAATAACGTGAATTCCACTGAAACGTCAGGTATTTTTGGGAAGCCAAAACATAGTCTTGCCTTGTCTGTCACCCGAAGTGCCTCACTTTTGTAGCTTTTGGGGAAAAGGGAATTTGAATGATGTGTAATCATCAGTCTGAGGTTGCCACATTTGTTACTTTTTTGTTTCTTGATTGCTTAGGTTCAGCTAATAAGAGGAGAAGACGTACGCTGCCATCTCCCACCATCGTGGAAGAACTGGTAATTCTGAATTTCAGTAGCTCTGTGACAGGAGCCCACATCTGCTACAGCAAAGGACTTATTTAGTGAAGGATTTTGACAGCATATTCAGAAAGAGACTTCCCCACAGAAGCAGTTTACTTGTCCTTTACAGCTGCCTTGTTTGGATCTTGCCATTCTGTCAAACCAAAACTGTTTGCATTTAGAGCTGCTTCAGGCAGAGCCAGTGCTGCCCTCAGCTAATGTGGCGCAAACGTGGTAGGAACCTCTGAACCAGGCTGACTTGGTGCCTGTGAGCTTCCCTTTGGGGACTCCTTTTTTTGGAAGTACTAATGCCCCTCAGATTACCTTAGGGCTTGATGTGGCTTCCACAAAAAACTGCTTTTGATGAGTCACTTGGTCTTTTAAACTTGCATTGACTTTCTGTGAGCCTGTGCTCATGGCAAACGTAGAGACTTTAACTGCAGATCAGGCAGTTCTTGGCTCTGCTGGTGACCATGGCCTTCCCAAGGGTTTGGAGCTATCATGCAAGCATCCCTCTGCTTGCAGGGGGAGGTGTTTCACAGGCTATTGCTAGAAAACTTGTTCATACAGCATATTGTAAGTTTTGAGCTGATTCTCTTGGCTCTATGGAAGTGTGCTTGGGAATTCCCTTTGACATTTAGAGAGGTTAGGATTTCTTGTTGCTAGAGGAACTGGCATCCAGCTTTCCTTGGGAAAAAATTTTGTCTTTCCCAGGTCTTGAGATTAAAGGGAAGTCACATGAGGGGATGTGGATGATCTTTGCAGCTTTTTTGTAGTACTGCCGTAAGAGTAGGTTATTTGTCTCCAAGAATTTCTCAGCTGTGAATCCACTTGCATTCCTGGTACTGTAACTGAGTCATCTGACCAGTTACCCGCAGTATTGTTCTGTCTCTGCTGCTCTCCCATGATAGCGATCTCAGAAATCAATGCAAATACTGCAAATAAAAAGCTGAGGGGCTCCAGGATTTTTCACTGCAGGATAAATCGTTTGCCATTGTGTAAGAAATGCATTTTTACACAGAAGTTCTGTGACAGAGCTGAAGAATTGTTTGTATTACTGTGGCATGATGTGGAACAGGAGCAAATGACTGTGTCCTGTCCAAAGGACATTAAAAATATTCTCCCTTTTCTCCCAAATCCTTTCTAGTATTCCAACAAGTCTAGGGAACTAAATGTCATTTGCCCTGGAGTTAGCAGCTGACATTTGTTAATTTCTGTATTTGCCAGTGCAATGATTAAGGATGGTGGTCTTCCAGGTTTGGGCTTTTCTTAAAGTGTTTTTGCTTTGAAGCAGTTTTGGCTTCCTGTTTTTAAAAGTGGGATGTCTGAAGAGGAGTGTCATTAGCTGTGCAGAGAAGCTGACTATATTCACAGAAATGTGGGCTGCTCTTTGCCCTTCTGGTAATAGAGAAGTAAGGTAACGAAAACAGCAGTAAATGTTGGTCAGAATGTATTGTTCTGGTTTTCTTACAGAGGACAGAAGAGACAGCAGAAGATGACCATTTGCGAACACTAAAAAGGAAAAACAACAGGCATAAAGGTGAGACTCACTTTACAGAGCAACTTGGAGGTACTGTGATCTGTTATTTTGGAGTTCAGAGCTCGGAGATGGCAGAGATACTGCAAATGCCTCTTATCCTCCTGAGATGACTCTCCAGGCTCTGGTGTGGCAGCAAAAGTCTGATGGGCTGAATGACTGTGGTGGTTTTAATAACTGTGCAGCAAACAAATGTCTGTGGTTTGGCTGAGACTTGCTGTGTGGTATGAGCTGGTGATTCACCTGACAGTGCCCCACTGTGGCTGGCTGCTGTCTCCAGCACACAGGGCTGCCTCTGCCTGACCCCCCTCCTCCATATCAGTACAGTTACATTTAAAAGGGAATCAGTCCTCCTTCACCTGGGTCTCCCTGTGCTGAGCAAGTCCTGTCTTGAAGGAGAGGGGTGCAGTTCTGCTGATTGGCACTCTGGGATGGGTTAGCAGAGGAGGTGCTGTGACAGTGTATCTTTCCTTTTGAAGCCTCGGTGTACATAGGATGCTTAACACAATATAGTATTTCACTGTATAAGTATGGTATTGCAACAGTGAAATGGACCACAGGACCTGTCCTTCAGTTCTGCAGTTTTTGTGTTACCCCAAAGCTCCTGCTGCAACTGCTTGTCAGGATTGTGCTGTCACTGGGAAGTTTGGAAGGTGCTAGAGGTGATAGCTCACCTCGCCATGGATATGTTTAGTGTATGGGCACAGTATTGCCCGTGGCTGCCTGGTGCTTTTCTCTGAATCTTGCTGCCACTGTAAAGAACAGGGAACCTATACAGAATGCTGGAACACTCGTAGGGCATCTCGTGAAGTGAAATGACACTTCTTTTCTCACAAATGTCTCAAGTAAAATATAATGTTGTTTCTAGTGGAGACTGGCAGACTTCTGTGAGCTGTCTGATAGCCCTTTCCTTTGGAACAGCCCACAGAATTGATCTTACTGAAACCTTTTGCTGACCTGCTGTGCTGAGATGAGAAAAAAAGAGTTATTTCCCTATCAGTGCAAACCTGACAAAGTAGGTGTATAAAATGGGCTGTAATAAACAAGTTTAATGCCTGGGATCACTTGGAGTAGAATTAGCCTTAATTTCTACTAAGTCCACTACTGATTAACTTGAACTGTTTGCTGTCCTTTGGCCTGCTCAGTCCATGGTCCTAAGGGTTGGAAGAAAGGCAAGCAAGACAAACCACATGCTTTCCTACACTAGGGGTATCAGGAGGCTTTAGGAGTGGCACATTTAGAGTGGAGATACTTGGTTTTGGTGAATGAAGCCATATCTAGAGCTTAGGGAGTTTTACACCCAGCACAGTGCTTACGGTTGCCTGACCATTTTTATGTTCCCACTGAAAAAGGCTGTGTGGGTGGCTGGAGGAGCCAGAGACTTGCAAAAGTATTTGGTACTGTAGAGAGGACTTTGGCCAAAGTTTCAGTTTCTGCAGGGAGGGAGTGAAGCTTGCTTTACAGATCCCTCCCATAAGAGTGTGTTCTTGTGTGTTAACAGTACAAATAGACTTTCTCAGGAAATGCAAACAAGCTGGGCTTCTGGATGACATATTCGAAGAAATGCTGGACACACTTCACCTGGCGCAGGAAAAACTGATGGATGACAATACTTCAGAAACAGGTATGCAGACCCATGGGGCACTCTGCTCTCAGAGCAGGAGTGTGGCTCTGAATGCCAGGCACGTGGCCCTGGGGCACCTTCCTGAGGATACCATACTGCTAAATAGGTCAGTCTTGCTTTATTTCTGCAGCTGTGCAGCAGGTTGAGAATGACCTTCCCTTTAAATGACCATTTAAAGTGGAAATTCCAAGGAACTTCTTTTCTCAACATTATGTAAGAGCTGCCAACTCAGTATGCTTTAGTGAGACTGTCTAACTTGAATTTTTGAAGCCACCTCTTGGCGTAAGCATAGGGAGGTTCAGTCAGGCCTCTTCTCCTGGGCTCTGAGGAAGAGAGAGGCCTTGAAGAGAACCAGAAGGTTTTATTTAGGTCATTAGTCTGTGTTGCTCCTACAGCTTCTCAGGGGGACCAGCTGTCTATTAATATCAGCATTTTCTTCTGAGTGAAAGATCCCCAAGTATGTGCATTTTAAGTCTTTGGATGATTTGTTACAACTCTGTTGTCAGCTGTTAGTGTCTGCTTGGAGTTTTTATTGGTTTATCACTTAGTGTTGAATTATCAAAGAACAAATGTTGCTTTGTCCACAAAATAGAGAAAATTTCAAACCTTCCTGTCCTATTGTCCTCCCAGTTTTACAAAGTTATGAATAATACCTTTGCACCACCTCCTTGGGCAACCTATTCCAGTGCCTGACCACCCTAATTATTTTCTGTATGAAAGTAAAATTGACAACTTGATATTTCTTTCTCAATACAGCTTATATGAGAAAGAAGACATCTTAAAACCTCAAGCAATAGGGATTATAGAATATAAGTAATTACTGGTTTGTGGTACATGTAGGGCTCTGCATTAACATGAGGGTTCTGGAAACCTTTACTTGGTAATAGTAAATCAAATTATCTCTTTCCCCAGAGTATGAAGAAACAGTAATATCACTGTTTGACTGTGGACTGTTTGAAAATATACTGACAAATATTCACTCAGGTATGTGCAGAAAAGCTGTCAGAGCAGTAGCAGTTGGTCTGGGTTTTGGCATTGAAGTTAATCTGAGAATTTTCATTAAATGATCATTTAAAATGAAAATTCCAAGGAACTTTTTCTCAGCATTATACAAACAGCTGAATAAAAGCTGTTGCTACCCAAGTCTGTAGAAGTGCAGTGTGTCGAATTTGGCTGGCTGACCTGAAGGGGGAGGCAAGTCGCAGTTCCACAGGAACCAAAGGGTGTCTGCCCCAGAGGACCTTCCCTCTCCTGCAGGTTATTTCGGTTCCTCCTCTGCAGCCTCCCTTCAGCAGCTTGCCTGTGGTACAGCTGTGCTGCTGAGGAATGCTGTCCAGACTAATGCTTTTACCTGAAACACAACAGCCAGACACTGGGAGAACTTACCTGCACCAGGTGGCAGTTGTAATGTGAGTAGAAAAACAAGCTGAGAATGCTCACAGTGAAATGAAAACAAGGGCAGGAACCGTTGCTTGGGACCACCGGTGTGGAAGGAAACTGGGCCTTGGACTCCAGTCTCAGCTATTTTAAGCAACAGGGCTAAAACTGTTTTTCAGACAGACAAGCCTTGAGCTCCCATTTTCAGAACAGTTAACAGCCTTGTCCTAACCTTTGCTTTAATTTATTCCAGTGAAAAGGGAAATGGGTTTTAATTAGCTAATGCTGAGGTTCAGCACGTGAAGGCGATGTTCGTTATTTCCCCTTCACTTGAAGGAAAAAGTCAGGCTCCTCTCTCTAGTCTCCTGTCCTCACATTCACATTCCTCTGCCAGCAATAGGAGTGACTGGTGTTGCAGTTGTCTGACAGAAGGTTCCACCAGTGCCCCATCCGAGGGCATTAAAACATCTCTGCTCAGAATTCCTCATGTGACACAACCTTGGATCACACTTGTTTCTTTCACAGCTGCATCGATTATTTCATCCTCTTCTCAGCTTACAGGAGAGTTTCTTGATATTGGCAACTATGTGCACACAACCATGTGATTCTTGTCTGTACAAGTTGTTCCCTCTTCAATTCCTCACAACTCAGGCAGTTCAGTTCTTCCTGTACCACACAATCTTCTTTTCTGATAGCCCCAGCCTACTTTTAATTTTGAGGTCAATAATGAAAACATTTATCAAGGTTGGTTCCAAAACTGATCCAAGAGGAGCTCTTAAAATGAATCACTGAGAATGGAATGAAAACCATGTTAATAACAAGGGAAACTGTAGGGAGGGAAGGAAAACACCGGTTTGTTTTTTTTTTTCATTGGAATCTGACTCCCAAGCTCTAGCTAGGATATCTCTGTGATGACATACCAAGTCGAGAACTAAATAAAGTAGGACTAGTATAAATACTGTGTCTTTGATATTTTTGCTGGAGCTGCTGATTTTGGGTCATCTGACATGCTTTACCTTCAATCCATTTTTCCATTTTATCTTTTTCCCCTTCTTGGATCCTCATGCAAAGCCTGTTCTAAAGCCTGACATGTCAGCACAGCGAGGTTACTCTGAACTGCAAGTGTTGGTACTGCTGTTTTCAGTCCCTTTCATATGCAGGGATACACAGTTCTTCAGCAGTGTGCAGCTTTTCTGCAAACTCAACCACATGTAAAACCTTTCATACAGGATGTGCTGTTGCCTTAGCGGTGGTTTCGGATTTCTAGGTTGGAGGTTCTTGTCCTATTCGCCAAGGAAAAAGTGACTTCCATTAGGTTTGCTTTCAGTTCTGTTGTGCAGCCTGCCTGGGGGGATACCTCCATCAGCTTTCATTTCCTCTTGCTGGCCAAGCACTCTGTCCAGCAGCTTTTGAGCTCTGTGGTAGTGTTTGTTTCCAGGGGGTTTGCAGCAGTGAAGTCTGAAATTCAGTTGCACAAAGGCTGTGATTGATACTCAGTCTTAAAACTGTTGTGCAGTTCCTTCAGTGTGACCCCCGTAGCACTTTTCTGAAAGAACAGCAAGGGCAGTCATTCCAGATCCACGTTCCTCAGGCCATTCCTGATTTTACAGAAATACATATTCTTTCCCTTTAGGTCATTTCCTGTATGAGGTGGAAGGTTCCCAATCTGTTACCTGCCTTCCTGTGGAAGGCTGGTCATTCCCATCACTGACATCTTGCTCTGGGCTGTTTCTATTTCTGCCACATCCGTTTGGCACAAGAGAAACTAAGCTCTGTGTCTGAGCTGTATGTCCTTCATCTTATAGATGTTTGCATTTCATCTCAAAACTTGCTATACTACAGATTTCAACATATGGATGACAAAGTCTGTGATTACTGCTTTGTGCTTTCTTTTGACCTTTTGGTGTATCAGTCTCTTCCAGCCAACACACAGTCTAGCTCTTTATGAAGACACTGAGTACAGGGCTGTGGGTTAAAGATGTTGCTGTAGAAAGGCAGAAGTTCTATTGTAGGTGAAAGTAAGCATTGGTAGCCCCTGCACTGTTAATGCAGATATAACATTTATATTAACAATTGTTATGTATGAATAAAAGCTTTTATCCCTTTCTTTTTCATAATAGGAACAGAAGAAAAAATCCGGGAGCTTCTGGAAAGCAGAAAAAGACTGGATAACAAGATTGAGCTATTGCAGGACATAAAAGAAGTTGTCCTTCCTACCCCAGAGAACACTGCCAGTACATCTAGTACAGCATCTGAATAACCCATAGGTCTGTCTATATTAGTGTCAATATTTAGGATTTTTGAGTGATAGAAACCATAGAGCACGTCTGGTCAGTGTCTGAGTAATCTCCCCTGGCCCCCAAGACAGGGACAAGCAAGAACTGGGTGTTTTACTCATTTTTATACCTCACTGTTGCAATAATTTTAGGTTGTCCCTTCAGATTTTACCATGGAATTTTATGAGTGTTATACACTAAATTTAGCTTTTTTAAAACTCGATAGAACCATCCAATGAACTTTTCTCAAAGACAAGGACCATCAGCTGTCACAGATGAGTTGTACAATCACCTTAACTGTGGGAGCTCTCTCCCAACTCTGTAGTAGCTACTTCACTGTCTGTGTCTAGACAGGGATGTTTTTAAGGATCATATTGCTGCTTTGGCTTGCCAAAGATGATAAAAATTAGCAGAACTTGCACTCCAATCCAAGAAGCCTTCTGAATTAAACAGGAGTTTGGTTTTTTTTCTGTTACATTATTCTTGATTGACTGCTTAATAGGCAACGAGCTCTGCTGTAAGGGCAGCGCTGAAACAGTGTTTGCAGGCAGACCAAACCTGGTTGGACATCACACTCTGAACATGTACAATGTCAAACAGATCAAACAATGGACTGAATCCTCCTTTCTCCATTACGAAAGGATACAAGTTCCATGTGTTATGTCTTTAAAAAAATTGTTTGAATACAGAAGCATTGTTTAGCTACAAAAGGGTAAGTTAACAAAATAAAACCTTTTTACGAAAACTGTCTGGAGTTGTGCTCACTAACCCTGCTGCTGTATGGGACATGGCTGAGGCAGGGGAATGTCACACCATCCTTTAACTACCCCTTCCCTCAGGACAAGTAGAGGGGCACCAGAATGCTCCACTGCTAATGACAGTGACAAACACCACTTGTCAGGACAAGTGTAACATCCTGGTACAACAGCTGAACTCTGCCCATGACTGTTTAAAATTCCTAATGTGAGCTTGTTCTGTATGAAGGTGAAGATCAATAAGCACAGAGTAATAGCATTCAAAACTAGCTCTTGAACTATTAGCTGTGCCCCATAGAACAAAATACTAGTCATTTTTCTTGCTTATACAGATAGAATCATAGAGTCAACGAGGTTGGAAAAGACCTCCAAGATCATCAGTCTCTTCCTAATAGCTAACCTAACCTCCCCTGGCAGAGCTTGAGTCTGTGCCCTCTTGTCCTACTGCTGATTGCCTGGGAGAAGAGACCAATCCCCACCTGACTCCAACCTCCTGTCAGGGAGTTGTGATGAGGTCTCTGCTGAGTCTCTTCTCCAGTCCTGCTGCCTGTCTGGGCCCAGAAACATCACCAATTTACTGCCCAAGCCAAGGGCTCAAGTGCCACTTGCAGCTATTCTGCCTAGAAAACCCCCACCAAAACCAGAGATGCATTAGCATGGAGCTCTGATATTGAAAATGCAGTAAGAATAGTAGGTGTGTATGTCCATACACACCTGCTGTGCTGTGGGGCTGCAGTCACAGATTGATGACAGCAGGAAAAAAAAAAAAAACAGACCTATAATCACTGAGGCCTAAAGAAGTGCCTACAAATAAACTTGCTCATTTCTGAAATCCAGATCACACTGTGTAAAGCACAGTGAAATCAGCAGGATTCAGTAATACACAGTTGGGGGAGTGACTGGTTTTGGTTTTTTTGTTTGTTTGGGGTTTTTCTTTGTTGTTTTGTTTGGGTTCTTTTAAAATAAAAGCAACTTACATGCTTGCCATGTTCTTCAAAGAAGTTTGCTAATGAACAGTTATATAAAAAAATGAATTTTATTACATGTATTTTAAATCTAGACAATACTTTAATGCAAAACCCCACCCAACTTTGAGCATATCCCTTCCCCACTGAGGGAACCAATGTAATCCGAAGTCACTGAAGAGGGAAATTTTTCCATTAAGCATTATAAATATCGCTTGAACAGATTACACAAAGTACACATTACAACTTCTATTAAGATATACCCAAATATAGAGATTTAGTTCCAATTAGTTTTGCTAGTAATTCCTTTCTTCAAAGTCCCTTGCACAGGCAAAATATTTTTGCACAACTTAAGCACTGGATACACTTGGTTAATTACACACAGCAAATGGCCAATTCATTCATGATCATGCAAAGGCAGTAAGAGAACCATGCCATTTGCTTCTCTATAATCCCAGGGCGTTAATGATTTAAGGGACATCATTCAGTGGTGCAGGTCAGACTATTCTCCAACCCCAGAAAGTAAACTGGAAATACTAACAGGCGGTGCTAGAATAGATTTCCTAGGCTGGAAACACAAGTCTGTAACACCGTCCAGCGTCCTCTGCACACTGCAGTGTTTCCTCTTGGTCTGAAATCCTGAGCTGATTCCACCATCCAAGTTTGCTAAATCCAAGTGAATGTTTTCCTTGACATTTTTACAACAGTTCACTCTTGAGCACTGAAAGCAAATGTTTTCACTGTGGCCTTTCACATCTGGTACAGAGACATCTGGTACGTATGCCTTTACCCATACGTTTTATGACACCTGTTGCAAAAACAACCCCACAAACACTAACTTACAGCCTCATTTCAGTTCTTAAAGGCTCCACATTTACTGGCTTTAGCGATGAATTCCTTTAGCAGGGGACCATCCATTTGCCAAAATGCTGTAGTTTGTGTCACTTCTGTCAAATGATTGACACAAAACTTAAAGCAGAATTCCTCTAAGTCCTAAACAGAAAGAAAAAAAATAAAAAACGTTATTGTCTTTGCTTTCATCACAGATCTCATTCAGACAGAAATGCCTGTATATGCTTCATTTTTGCAGAGAATTAGACAAATATAAACCCAGTGGCTTTCAACATTTTTGCCCCAGACACTGTGTAAATGCAACAGAAAATAATTCTACCCATGTACATGGTTACAAGGGGAAGTAACCAAAGTTTGGTTCTCACTATATAGCTGCAGTCACAAAAATCAGCTGTTTTGAGCAATATATATTTTTAAGTTTTCCCACTTGAAGAGTTATACCTGCATTCACTGACAGCTATTAAATCCCAATACAAACAGGAGATCTTGGGGTAATGATGTATAACCAAGACCATGGGTGAAGAAAATTCAGCTCTTTTGTTCCAAACCAAACTCAAATTGCTTGACTTCCTGCTTAGTTAAGGGCTTCACTAGAGCCTTGACGTTGTGTGTCACCAGGCTCAGTGCAAGCATACCCTGACTGGGTAGTTGTACAGCCAAGATTAGGCAGGAGGCCTTTCCCTGCATTAGAAACAGATTCATGTCACACAGCACTTCACAGAACTCCCAAAAATGATTCAAAAGAAGTACTGCAGCACAATACAGCACAGCAGCTCTCGCAGAAAGTGGACTCGGGATATCTGAGTTTAGTTGGAAGGGTCTTCCATTTAAGGATTAGAAAAGCCTCACAAGCACCACTGCCTCTGCATGATGTCAGAGACAGGATGTCTTTAAGAACACAAGACAGTCATTGTCAAGAGAAGGCTGATCACAGAATGCTTCCCACTCAGATTATTCATTTCCAACTCCTCTTTTGAGGAGGAAATCTACTCTGTGGTGCAGATCTAAACTGCCATAGGGAAGATGCTGCAGCCCTTACAAAAAGGCAACTCCCCAGACTGTTCTAATTTCGTTGCTAAATGCCCGTAGGACTAGTACTCTGTATGTGTGAAGACACCCTCCCTTCACTGCTCAGCACACTGGGTGCTGCAAGAAGGCATAACAAATTTGCAGAGCTCTTTAGGCCACATAATGTATAGAAGACTAATATTCGTGTTTTCACTTAAGGCCAATACTGAAAGCTAGAGCAATTGTGTGCCAGTGAGAGTTCTTGACTCAACAATAATACAAAAATATATCCTGGCCTAAAACCAGGCATTCTGAAGCTGCAGATCTTGACTTGTGTGGCATCTGTGCAACAAAAAAAGACAAGCTTATTAGAACTGAACACTGATGGTTTTCTCTTTTTTAAATAACAGAGCCAACTAGCATTTTAAAGAAAATTACATCATACACATTACAATATTTTACACTGCTTTATTAAAAAATTCATATTCCAAGTCAATGCAACAGAAGCATACAATAAACAGAATTATTGTAGTATTAGTCAGTAACTCTGGAAAATTTAAAGTTCTGTATAAAAACCAGCTGAATTTCATTTGCAGATGGATGAACTCCCAGCAAACTACTTACACTGACTTAAGTCAAAGGCACAAAGCACATCCAATGATTATTTTAAAAGCTACAATGAGAAGTCAGACCTGAGCTAATACTAACCCACTTCAGTCACCAAAAGAAAGTGTAGGAGGTATTTTAAGTCAGTGAAGCAGCTTCTTTTAACTGCTGTCTCCAGGCACACACTCCCTTGACTGAGCTACATCACACAAGCAATCTCAAGCCCCCCAGCTAACACTGCAGCATGTAAACCCAACTTTAGTAACACCCAACCCCTCAGTGTCACCCACTCCCTCCTTGACGCAGCATTTAAACCTGCAGATCTACCCTCATTTAGCTAGTGAGGTACAGACAAGGCACAACAACTGGATTTCTTACACCCTTTACAAGCAGAATCAACCACACACTGAAGACCCTTCCTGCAAACAATCTTTTGAGGCTAAAATATGGTAATCTTCCTGGTTTTAATGAACTCCCACTGACGAAATCATTCACAGCAGAGCTGAAGCCACAACAGTCACTGACACAGCCCTTTGGGTAAGATATACCAAACAAGCAACACACTATGAGACTCTAAAATAAGTTAGGGCAACCTACACACCAATTGCTGGATATTAAGTACAAGAAAACACAGTAAGCTGATGTACTGAGCATAAAAATATCTGCTTTATAAGCAGCCTAAGTAGCAAGTTAAAAACTAGGCAATTGCAAAGTTGCCAATATGCTGCACACATACTGTGCTGAATGCAAACAGCAGAAGCAAACCCAGGAATCCTTCCCCATTAGCTCCCAAAGCAG